ATTTGGTCTGGGCCCGAGGTGGGCTTAATAGCCGGCGACTACTGTATTCTGAAAGACCGCCAACACAAACAAATACTGCACTTCAATAGCAATCACCCCCTGCCTCACAAACTTAACGGTATCCGTACTCTATTCCAAAGAGTCGACGTATACTGCAGCGTGCCAGCTGAAACAGTATATAAACGACACTACCTCCATGATGTTTTCCGAGCCAATTGGTACCCAAGTTTTTTTACCAAACAAAGCAGACGAACAAACGAACAGACGATAACCAGAAGAACAGTAGCCCGAATTCTGGAACGCTATTCTTTACATAAAGGGACTTTTGATACGATCTTTCGACTCCGGGCGAAAGTTCGTCGTTATATGATGCAATCTGATGACAGACTGTCCCCTACCGAAACCGCAGTTGTCTACAAAATATGTTACGATTATCGGGACTACAATTACGTCGGTCAACCTGGACGAATACGGCAGACCTGCCTGCACGGGCGCCTCGAAGGCTACACCCAAATCCACAGCTTGCAACCCATATTAGAGAGACTGGTGATGCTTTTGATTTTAAAGGCGCAACCATCTTAGGCCGAAGCACCTCAAATGCGGAAAGACTGACATTTGAGGCATGTCATTCAGTTGCCAACTATGTCAACAAGCACCTATACCAGGACATGAAGGCCACGCCGAACTTAACAAATGTGGGGTGAAGACGGCTCCGCGATGAACCCGCCGGAAGTGGAAATAGGCTTTCCAGCATCCGCCACCGAGGTGACGAAGGGCAACACCTGCAGCTGTCAAGCTACATAAACATCCATACCAGGGCTACGGCAGCAAATGAGTAAAAAGTCGGCTATTCATTCAAAACTCTGATCTATACTGGCAGTAGACGCTTTGACTTGGTAGAGCAGGCTAAGCTCTCCAAAATATCAACAAGAGTTTAAGCCTGTTCTCAGCGACTGCAAGTGTTTTTATCCAATATTCGTCCGTCGCGAGGGGCACTAGGTAGTAATGACTTGCGTGTGATTACGACTTAGGTGAAAGCGACTTGTGCGACATCGACCTCACAAGTTCTTTTTCATATTCGTCACATTTCAGCGGCAGCGCAAACATACTAATGTTTCGAGATTACGTGGGCGCCGTGCACTAAGTCCTGTCTGTGCGTGCCACACAGGTGTTGGTGTTCCAGTCACGCGTTTGCATCGCAGCGAGTTGCCGTAAGGCCTTGCACTCGATGATTTGCGTGAAAATTAAATTATAATGCGAAGAGCGTCTAGAATCGGCCTCCTCTCTTTCCTACAGCTTTCCGTTGGCAGGGCTTCTGTGGATGAACTTGGGTGGGTTAGGTAAGTTGAGGCACTGCTCTGCGCACGCTAGACCCTTCCCGTGACAGGACTGAATTATTTAGAGGATTTCGCGGAAACATCCGGTTCCGGCTGCAGTTGCGCTGTTCGCTAACACGAATTCTCAGCACAGATGCCTGGGAGCCTTTGGTGAGGGCTGGGCGCCAGGTGAGGTCTGAATGAAATAATTAACCCTTGTGTGTGTGTTTGTGTGTAGTTGATGATACTATCAATTGTCCAAGGTGGATACCTCTCTTTGGGTACTACAG